CCTCCACATCTGTCCTGTCTGTCCAGGTGGGAGGTGCACGTTAGTCCTGCCTCCTGTCTGTCGTCTTCTCATTCTTCTTTCTAGGCCTCAGACGAGTAACTTCAGTTGTTCACTGATTCTTTCTTCTCCTTGCTCAGTCTCTTGCTAAACTCCTGTGGTGAATTTTCTTTTCAGCGATTGCAGTTTTCAGCTTCAGAATTTCTATTTGGTTTCCTTTCACAACTTCTCCCCCTTTATTGATATTCTCTATTTGTTCACACGGTGTTCTCTTTGTTTCCTGTTGTTCTTTTGTCGAGGGTTTTCTTTGGTTATTTGAGCATATTTAAGATAGAGGATATAAGTCTTTCTTCAGTAACTTTAATGTCTGGGATTTCATAGGGATGGTGTTGGGTCCATCTGACGACTACGCCAGATGCCACAGTCAGGGTCAGGTTCTGGCCCATGCTGAGGTCCGAGGGGAGTGGGTGGATGGGCATTTAGCTGAAAGAACACCCGGAGGGCCGCAGGCAGGTGGGTATTGTTTTATTCAGCAGCAGCTCTCATCAGCAGTCTTCTCATCAGCAGCTTATTACACCAGCTTTCTCACACTGTCCATCTCTATCTCAGCTGTCTGCTCTGGCTCTGTGGCTCCTGCTACCCCTCCCCACCAAGCTTATAGCTGCACGGCCAGCTCTCCCTTGCCTCAACTCCTTATCTTTCTGGGCACTAGCAGGAGCCAGGCTATGGCTCCCCTCTGTCTGTCTTGAAGACGGGTAGCTCTGGTTCTCCCTCTCTGTTTCTCTGGGAACTAGTGCCATGTCAAGCCATGCCCAAGAGCCCCGTGCACAGCATCAGCAGGGCAGTTACACCTTCTACAGACAATAGTCGCTTCAAGCTAAGTATGAACTTACACAAACAGCTTATATAACAAGCGGAAGTGTGCGCCTGTGGACCAATCCCGCTGAATCATGCAGGCCTGGATGTCTGCCTCAGCCTCTTCCTTGACTAAAGCACATCTATGTTTCTTACAGATGATTTCTGTGAATTTATTTCTTTCCCTTGTGAGTGGGCCATACTTTCCTGTTTCTTTGTATGCCTTGTAATTATATTGCTGAGAATTGGACTCAATTCTTATATTATAATGTGGAACTCTGGAATACTATATGATATTATGTTGAATATTATAATGTGGAACTCTGGAAATAAGACTACCCAAGGCTTTAATGTCAATTGTTGAGGGCTGCGGCCATCCACTTGTTTTAATGAGTTTCCAAATTGTGTTTGCCAAGACTGTATTCTTTGTCAAGTGTGCTTATTGAAGTCTCTGTTATTGTTATCTTAGCAGTTGACTAGTGACCCGAAAGAGATTTCCTTAAATGCTTAGAGACAGAAAAGAAAAAAGAAAAAGAAAAACACCCAGAAAACCACAAGCCCCTGCATCTGCTCTTCACACTCTGGCTCTAAGCTAGGACACTTCTTCAGTGCTAAGCCAAGCTGGTGGCAACCCTACCTTAGCCTTCACTTCCTGCTCGTGTGGAGTCCGAAGATCAGCCACAAGTGTAAGTCTAGGATCTGCTCAAGCCTTTTCTGATCATGCATCTGGGCCTGTGCATGTATACTGTACTCCAGATTCCCCAGTATATGCTGTAGCCCTCCAAAGCTCTTATTCCCCCAAGAATCTTCCTCCTCATCCTCAGGCTTTTGGGTCTATCTCTTGCTTGCCTCATCCTCCATTCCTTCCCCCAGGCAGCAGTGGATAGTGCATATCTTTAAATATTTCCATCAGATCCCGTGCAGGAAACTCTCTAACCTGAGGAGGTCAAATTAAGGGTCAGCCTCTATGTCAGTCTCTTACAGCAGGGGTCTCCAACCCCAGGGCCATGGACCAGTACCAGTCAATGGCCTGTTAGGAGCTGGGCTGCACAGCGGCAGGTGAGGGGCCAGCAAGTGAAGCTTCATCTGTATTTACAGCGTTCCCCATTGCTCCCATTACCTCCTGAGCTCCACCTCCTGTCAGATCAGCAGCAGCATTAGATTCTCATAGGAGCACAAACCCTATGGTGAACTGCACGGGCAAGGAATCTAGGTTGTGCATTCCTTATGAGAACCTAATGCCTGATGATCTGTCACTGTCTCCCATCACTCCCAGATGGAACTGTGTAATCGCAAGAAAACAAGCTCAGGGCTTCTACTGATTCTACATCATGGTGAATTGTATGATTATTACCCACCAACCTCCAAAAAACAAAAATGAAACAAAGAAATAAAGAAATGCAAGAAAGTGATTTCCATAAATTTCAGGTCAATGATCACCTATAGGAGAAAAGTTGAGGGGGGAATTCAGATTAGTAGAGTACACATAAGGATCATCTGGGTTGCTGGCTATGTTCTGTTTCTTGAACTGGGTAGTGTTAAAAGTACATTTGTATTCTATTACTTGTATTTATATTACATAATAAAAAGATAAAAATAAAGTCTGTCAGTAATTACAGTATTTATATTCTATTACACTCCCTACTGTATCTAGTCATATTCTTATTTGGATCTTCAAACTGATCATACAGTCCTAGGATAGATGTTCATTCAGTCAATCATCAATATTTATTGAGCATCTACTATAAGCCAGAAACTGTTCTATACACTAGGAATACAGAATGGAACAAGATAGACATCTTGCATTCCAGAGTGGGGATACAGGAAGTAATAAACAAAAAGGTAAAAAAAAGATCATTTTGAGGGGGGCTAAGTACTTTGAGAATAAGACAGAGTTACATGAGAGAGACTGACTGAAGTGAGAGTGACTGGAGTGAGATATTTTAGGTCGTAAAGGTTTTTGCGAAGCTGCCAGTTGGGGTGGTAACTGATCTGTACCAAGTGAAGGAAAGGGCTATGTGAAGTTTTGCAGGAAGAATATTCCACATAAAGGAAGCGGATATTATTGAGGCTTTTAAGTACAAAAGTATTTGACATGTTTGAGGAACCCCAGGAAATAAAAGTGTGGCCAGTGTGGCATAAATGAGGGAAGAGTGGCAGGAGACGGAGTTGGTGCAGAGGGCAAGGCCTCCATCGTGTACCATTTTGATAGACCATGGAAAGCATTTGTATTTTTTTCTTTTCCTTTTCTTTTCATTGTTTGGAGATGGAGTCTTGCTCTGTCGCCCAGGCTGGAGTGCAGTGGTGCAATCTTGGCTCACTGCAACCTCTACCTCCCGGGTTCAAGCGATTCTCCTGTCTCAGCCCCCCGAGTAGTGGGACTACAGGCGCCCGCCACCACACCTGACTAATTTTTGTGTTTGTAGTAGAGACGGGTTTTTACCATTCTGGCCAGGCTGGTCTCGAACTTCTGACCTCAGGTGATCCTCCCGCCTCGGACTCCCAAAGTGCTGGGATTACAGGTGTGAGCCACCGCACCCAGTCTGTATTTTTTTTAAGTGTGTGAGAAGCCACTGAAAATGCTGCTGTTGTGTAGGATGCAGCGGGGAAGAAATGGGGTCATAGTCCACTTGTACTGCTGTAACAAAATACCACAGGACTGTGTAATTTATGAACAATGGAAATTTATTTTTTACAGTCCTGGAGGCTGGGAAGTCTCAAATCAAGGTGCTGGCAAGTTTGATGTCTGGTGAGGGCTGCCTCCTCTGGAAGGTATTGCCGTGTCCTCACGTGGCAGAAGGGATGGAAAGGCAAAGAGGCCAAATTCACTCCTTCAAGCTCTCTTTTAAGGGCATTCATCCTATTCACGAGGACAGAGATCTCATGGCCTACTCCCCTCCTGAGGCCCTCTTCTTAAAGCTGTCACATTTGATGTGTTTTTACATAATGTTTGGAGGGGACACAAATATTCAAATCATAGCACATATGGAGAGGAACTGGAGTGAGACAGCAGTGGTCGTGAGGTGGAGACTGGTTAGGTTGTGAATTTAAGGTGGAGTCAAGAATATGTCTTAATGGACTGGAAGTGAAGTGTGAGGAAACAGGAATCAAGGAGAATTCCTAGGTTTTTGTCTTAACAATCAAGGGGATAGTAGGGACTTTTGCTTTAAGGAAGACTGGGGAGTGAGTAAGAAACTTGGATCAATAGGTTTATTTGGGCCGTATGACAACAGCGTGTCTGTTAGGCATTCTAGGGGAGATGTCAGGTCAGCTGTCGAATATGATTCTTCTTCACAGATTTTTTTTTTACATTTTAAAATTCTTTTTAAAATAACTTTATTTTTGTTGTTGTCTTTATTTTGCCTTTTTTTTTTTCCCCCTACTTCTAACGCACCAAGCACATTCTTTTTTTCTTTATTTTGTAGAATCAGCCAGGCTGGTCTCAAACTTTTGACCTCAAACAATCCTCCTGCTTAAGTCACTGAAAGTACTGGGATTACAGGTGTCAGCCATCACACTGGGTCCTTCTTCATAGAGTTAATGGGCTGGATGTGAGGACATCTAGAGTTCCCTTCAACCGTATTCAAAACATTCAACAAATTGCCAGTTGATTTAATGAATTACACAACATGCATAGAATGCTATTCCATGAAGTGGCATGCAAAGATAATCACTTTTAATCTAAAAAAGTAGATTATAAAACAGTTACCTACGGTTTGCCTCCATTTTTAAGAATATAGTATATTATAACATATTTCATTGGAAGCTTGAAGCAAATAGACCGGAATCTGAGCAGTGGCTACTTCAGGTGCTGGGATGAGTGTGGTTTTATCCTTTTAAATTCTTGTTATTGGTAATTTAAAATGTTTTCAATAATCGTGCATTACCTGTATAACGTTTTTTTAAAAGAAAATCCATGGTGTCTTTCAGCTGGGCAGTCTGCGACTGGGTAATCTGTCAGGTGAGGGTCATCAAGGTGATCAGGCTGAGAGCAGGGACCAGACGCAAAGTGGGAGAAGCCAAGAAGCCCCGTCCCGGGGCCGGGGGCGAGCGGTGGGCGGTGCGAAGGGCACCGCCCCTGCGGGTCACGTGCTCGCCGGCCACCAATGGCCGCCTCCGAGCCCACCTTGGGGACGGGGCGGGGCGCCTGGCTGGCGTCACCAGGACAACGGGCGTCGCCGGCGCCGTGTGACTTCGGGCTGTGGGCTTGCTCGCGGCTCTTCGGCCATGGTGAGTCTGGGACCCGCGTCTGCCCAGCCGCTTCGCCCTACCCCTGCCGGGTCGGGTCCCCACGCCGCCGCCCGCTAGGGTCGGGCGGGCGGCGCGGGGGTAGCGGAGAGGCCGGGCCGCGGCCTGCGAGGCTGCTGGGCTGGGCTGGGCTGGGCTGGGCTGGGCTGGGCTGGGCTGGGCTGGGCTGGGCAGGGCTGGGCGGGCCCGGGGAGGGGTACCCTGGGGGGTCCGGAGCGCCCACCTGCCGGGGGCGACCGCGAGGCCGCGTTCCCCGCCGCTGGCGTCTGGGTGACAGCCTGGACCCCCACCCAGTGGGCCGCTGGACGACGTGACGCTGTTTGGCCCGAGAGAGCCTGGGAAGCCACCCAAGGAGGGTGTGGTTAAAAAAAAATCATATACACGAATATCGTATGTATTTATATTGACACTGAAGCAGTCTGTGTGCCTCCAATTCTGGTTTTGTGCAATTATATATAACTAATATAAGACATTGTCTTCCTTTCAAAATCATTCTGATAGGTTCTTTAGCACGTGGAAATCAAAATTTTTTATTTTAGAGAACCCCCCTCCCCTTTTAAAAAATAGGGGACATGGAGCTGGAGGGTTTTTTTTTCCGAGTGCCGCACCCTCACTAAGGGATTTAATTAATTCACAATTAGTACATTGTAAGCGTCTTAAATCATTACCTTTGTTCAGTTACCCCGAGACGGCGTGGGCATGACACCTGGCCCCCTTTAAGCTTGTTTAAAAACATGACGCGGTTTCACTCGCTGGAGGTGCTGGCTTGAATAGACAAGTTCAGAGAATTGACTACCGAAGGTGTAGTCAATTCCATAGGCCTTCATGGGGTGAAAAGAAGAGAGGAGCTAGACTCCTTGCTTGGGGACACACCCTTGGTATAGAATACTTGAGGAGGTATGGGGGTAGACGTATGTAATAGGGAAATACCTCTTTCTTAGAAACAGGTTCTTTGTTTTAACCAGGAGTAATTAAGTGAAGATTTTCTCCTTATCTGCAGGAGTTAGTGGAAGTGCTGATGAGCTGAGAATGCAGGGTGCTCCCCGAGTGCCAGCTGGCCTCATGGAGAAAAAAACTATCATTTGGAATCCTGGCTGGCTCAGTTTTTTTCTTAATAATCAAGGAGAGGGGTGGTGGTAGGAGAAGGTGGATGGTGTCTCACGTTGACTTTGGAAAAGCGGCCCCCAAGTGTGTGGCATTATTGCTGGCAGGAGAAGAACATCACCCACAAATCACAGTGCTATGTAATGTCTTCTTTATTTTGTGTACGTTTCTTTTTTAAATTCTGAATTGCTTTTTAAGTGACAAATTAATGGAGCGGGCAAGAGTTTCAGAAAGTGATTTTTACAAAGATAGAAGTGTTTCAAATGTTGCAGTCATGTACTGTTATATGTTATATGTGAGAAAAGTCCTAACAATTGTAGCAAGAAGAAAGAATATCCAGGAATTAAATTTTCACAGTTCTCTGAAGTCTCATATTTCTCCTGTCATCTATTTTTCTTTATTTTTACTTATTCCGCTTCTTTCATTCTGACCTACAGCCCACCCTCACTCACTATTGTGAATTTGAGAGTTTTACTTTAAAGATATTTACTGTACTTTTGTATTACTGGTTGCTCTGCTGAACTTGTAATGCTTTGCTTTTTGTATATCTTTAAGCATTAAGAATATAACTCATAGGAGCTTAATTGAGTGGTAAGGTGCCCAGGCTTCCATGGAAGTGGGGAATGGTTGGTATAGGAGGGAGAGGGATGAAGAGGCTGCATATATATGTCATCCCCAAAACTGTATTTTTGTTTGTTTGTTTGTTTGTTTTGAAATGGAGTCTCACCCTGTCACCAGGCTGGAGGGCAGTAGCGTGACCTTGGCTCACTGCAACTTCCACCTCCTGGGTTCCTGCAATTCTCCTGCCTCAACCTCCCAAGTAGCTGGGACTGCAGGCACGCACCGCCATGCCCAGCTAATTTTTGTATTTTTAGTAGAGGTGGGATTTCACTGTGTTGGCCGGGATGGTCTCGATCTCATGACCTCATGATCTGCCTGCTTTGGCCTCCCAAAGTGCTGGGATTACAAGCGTGAGCCACCACTCCCGGCCCCTAAAGTCTAAATTACGTTATACTTCCTTAAATGCTTGAATCTGAACATAAAACTTTAGCCATTGATATAAGTGACTTTGCACATTAATTTTGGAACTATTTCTCAATGAAAATGTTTTCAATTAAGCCATTTATTTCTACTCTATAATAACGACAGCTAACATTTATTGTGTACATGTGTACAGTACATAGTTATTACTATAGAGGCAGTAGAAATTTTTCTAAGGGCCTTAAATGATCCAGCAACCTTGTAATGAAGATAACTTTACCCCATTTTAGAGATGAGGAAATCGAAATACAGAGAAGTGAAGTAACTTGCCTAGGTCACCGCACTGATAAATTGAGCCACATTCAAAACCTGGCAGTTTCTTTGAGAACCTGTTTATAGATTGTACTGTAATGTATAGTGTATCTTTATATGTTTCCTCATATATATGTTAGGAAATTAGTTCTCTTTCTTATTTGCACTTTAAGGTTTCTGAGCACTTATGAATGATTGTGTTTTGTTGTTCCAGCACTGGGTTAGATACTACAGAACAGGGTAGACATGCCTAGCCTTCTCTCCCCTCTCTCTCTCCTTCCCTTCTTTCAACAAAGTTGAAATGGGAAGGAATTAATAAAGACATGAATTAGATCGGCATTCTTACTCACAGCTATTTTAGCATTGAGTTTCTCCTGTCACTTCAGTTCAGTTAAGAAATTGGCATCCGCTTTTTGTGTGAATCACAAAGACAAGTGTTTTACATAAAGCCTTTTGGAAATGAGGGATATAACAGTGTTTTTTTAAAAAATGTATTCTCTGAGAGTTTCCTAATTTTTAGATTTTAGTTTTGTATTCTACTGTTGTCACAAAAAGACTTCAAGGCTGGGATCAGTGCCTCATGCCTGTAATTCTAGCATTTTGGGAGGCTGAGGCGGGAAGATCACTTGAGTCCCAGAGTTCAAGACCAGCCTGGGCAACATGGTGAGACTCCCATCTCTACAAAAAATTTGAAAAATTAGCTAGGGATGGTGGTGCATGCCTATGGTCCTGGCTATTTGGGAGGCTGAGGTGGAAGGATCCCTTGAGTCCAGGAGGTCAAGGCTGTACTGAGTTGTGTTAACACCACTGCACTCCAGCCTGGGCAACAGAGCGAGGCCCTCTATCCAAAATAAAGGGGAAAAAAAGGCATCTAATAATTGTTTAAATTTTAATTCATGTGGAACAAAATCTGTTGGAATATATATATTACTTGTCAAGTTTTTGTTATTGTTTAACACTTTAGCTTGTAAAGCAGATTTATTTTTTGGAAATAAATAACATTTTGTCATATAATTTTTCATTTTAATTCATTCATTTGGACTTTCCTATTTTGACACTTCTCTTTCTGTATTTGTGGTCAAGACTTGTCAGAGGTATTGGGAAGCAGAAGATGGAGGGAAATAGTTTTTCCACATTAAAGTGATTTAACTCAAGGTTTACGGACAGTTTTGGTCTTTCTGTCATTATATGATATTGTTAAGAGAATTTATATGATGAAATCTATGTTAATAGATCAAGAAAAGTAGAGGTTTCACTATATATTAATTGTCCTACTCGTGACCATATTGATCTCCCTTTTGTCTGCACTGTTGTGGGGTAGGAAATAATCTTTAGTAATTGTTAACAATAGCTTTCTTTTATAGAGCCCATTCTCTGTATCCAGTTCTGGGCTGACCACGTTTTTCTTAATTCTTCCAACATCCCTAAGAGATTGATGTTTGTTTATTTATCTATTTATTTATCTACTGATTTTGGAGACGGGGTCTTGTTCTGTCACCCAGGCTGGAGTGCAGTGGCTCAGCTCACTGTAGATTCAAACTCTTGGGCTCAAGCAATCCTCCCATCTCATCATCCCAAAGTGCTGGGAGTACAGGTGTGAGCCACTGCACCCAGCCTGAGTTTGACATTATTATTCCCATTTAATAGGCCTAAACTGAGTAGGCCGTTTGCCCAAGGTCACATAGTGAGTGAGTGGCAGAGCCAGGATTTGAACTCAACCAGGCCATTTCCAAAGCCTGGGCTCTTAACCATTACATTATGGCTTCTTGCCAAACTAAAGATTGTGCCCAGTGCCTGGCACAAATGTACTAATTACACCAAGATTAAGAGTCTTAATGTCTTAGCTGAGTCAGCAGGCTCTTTTAAATTTTATGACAAACTGTTGTTATGTTGTCTAATGACATCCTGAAGGATTTACTGGTTTGTTTGTTTTTTTTCCAGTTCAGACAGCCAAAGCTCAGATATGGACAGCTGTGGGTTGGCTACACTTTTACTGCTGTTTTTCCTCCCTCACTTTGAATCTCACTGCTACCCTGTGTAGTGTCTACATCAGCCACTGCCTCTTCCAGCACTAGGGTAGCCATAGGAGAGACAGGGATGGACAGGGAAGTCTAAGGAAAGAGAACAGGGCGTTTACTGGGAAGTTTTTAATGGAGTCAGAATCAAGGTTCAAACTCAGATTTCCCAGTTCTCAGTGTTGCCTCTACAATTGTGTCTTTCCATTGGTATTTTTGTTCTTTGGGGTTTTGTCCAATAAATATTTACTGTGTGCTACTGTGTGCTAGTGTCTGTTCTAGTCAGTGAATATCCAGCAGCGCATGAACCGACAATGGCCCCCTTCTCATGAAACTTATATTCTAGTGTCAGGGAGACAGATAATACACAGTAAGGTGGTAACAAGTACTTTGGAGAAAAACAAAGCTGGGTAGGAGAGAAAGAATTCTAGGGCAGGGTTGGAGAATGAATGAGGGGAGGGAGGTGTTCCTTTTAATGCAGAAGAGAAGGGAAGGCCTCTCTACTAAGGTGACATTTGAGCGGAGGGTATGCCATGAGAATGCCTGAAGAAAGACTGTATCGGGAGAGGG